GGGGGGAGAGGGCTGGGTGGGGAAGAAGTGCAGCAATGAATGAATGGAAATCCAAATTCTCTGTAAATGTTCATTAAAATTATTAAAAAAAATAAAATAAAAAAGAGCAATGTTGAAGGCAAGTGTTTTTCTTTTTCATTGCTTGGTTTTAAGAAGACTTCAGGAATATGTTTTTGTTTAAGGTTTAAATACTTCAGGGAAGTATTCTCAAGGGTTCATTCAACTTTCATGACTTTGGGAAATCTGGAGTCCATGAGAATTTTAAAATCTAATCTGCATGTCCATCCTTTCGATCAGGATTTTCCTGTAGTTTTTTTTTTTTATCAGAATGTTTGGTAATGGTTTCTGGGTGCTATCTAGTTCTGGTCTCATGACAAAGGAGGCTCAGTCATCTGTTCCATGAGCAGAGTGCACATTTTCTATTCTTGAAAGTCTTTGTTTCAGCAGTGCTTATAGTTGTCTTATTTAAGTCCTTCATGTGTCTGATTAGTTTTCTTTCTAGTTATATTATTATCTTAAATGCTGTAATAAATGGAATTGGTTCCCTTGTTTCTCTTTCAGATATCTCATTGTTGGTATGATAGAAATTCGGCTGAGTTCCATATATTGATCATTTACCCTGCAGCTTTGTTTAATTCTTTCACTAGCTCTAGACTTTGTGGTGGGCTTTTTGGAATTTTTCTAAGTATGTGATCAAAGCACCTATGAATAGAAATAATTCTTTTCCAATCTGGATATGTTTTATTTCCTTTTCTTATCTTATTGGTATGGCTAGAACTTCTAATAAAATATTACTGGAAGTTATCTTGTTTCTGGATTAGACTGCAAGCAAACATTTATTGAGCACGTACTGTTTTAGAGATAGACTTGCATAATAGTATTACAAAGACTAGTAATTGGCAAACACTGCTTGTAAGCAACTTAGCAGCCAATAAGCAGAGTCAGACATGTGTACAAATGAAAAAAGTAACGTATCACAGTTGCTAATATGAGGAGTTTGTGTGGTTCTAGTCATGTAGAGATATCTGATGTTTCTCTCTTTTTTTTTAACCCCATAGCTGCATATTACATCATTGTGGGAAGTTCCAGATTTTGTTCATCTTGCCCTCTGTTGTGGGCAATAGGATTGGTTCCAGGGGTTTGCTGTTCTAACTACTGCTACCATTATAGCCTATGGATACATTTTTGTATGTTTGCCAGTTAGACAAGGCTGTTGTTGTTGTTGTTGTTAGGTGCTGATTCAGTTCCTACTCGTCACAACCGCCTGTACAAACACTGCTTGCTTCTGTGTCATCCACTCCCCACTGTGCTTGAGCCTTTTGGTGCAGCCTCTCTGTCGGTCCATCCCATTCCAGATCTTCCTCATTCTCACTGGTCTACCAAGCATGGTGTTCTTCTCCAGGCATTGGTGTGTCCTGATAACATGCTGAAAGTATGTACAACAGAGTCTCTCCAGACTTGCTTCGACGGGCCTTCTGACTGCAGTCCTTCCAAGACAGTCCTGTTTGTTCTTTTGGCAGTTTGTGGTATATTCAAGATTCTTCTCCAATACCATGAATCAAAGGCATCAGTTCTTCTTTGATCTTACTCACTGTCCAACTTTCATACATCGATGAAATGATTGCAGATACTATAAGTACACCTTATCCCCAAAGTGACAGCCTTACTTTTTAGCACCTGACAGAGCCCTTTGTAGCAAATCTGTCCATTATATACATCTTTTGATTTCTTGACTGCTGCTTCCCTGAGTGTTCATTGTCATTTGAATAAAAAAAGGTAATCTTTAACAACTAATATTGTCCCCATTTATCATGATTTTATTGCTTACTGTGGATTAATTGTTTATTGGATTTCATTCTAACTCTTCCTAGCTGCTTCCAGCTTTTTTCTCTTTATTCACATTGTATTCTGCAATGGTATAAGGAAAAAATGTTTGTTTCTTTTATGTATGAAAACTTCAATCAGTTGTTGGTATCCCGTGGAGTATTTACTTGCATTTATTTCCTTTCACAACATACTTGTAATCACATTTCAATTAATAAGTAATTATCAATCAGAATTCTTAGAAGCAAACAATGAAAACAGCTTTCCTACATGGATACAAAGTAGCTTACAAAATTACCAGTGGTTTTAGATAACCACTGTTGGAGACCAAGCCTGTTCAGCCAGGAATAGTGACCAAATCCGTTTTTTCCATGAAGTAAACTGATGCCACTGAGCAGGAGGTGTTGTGGCTTGCACTGCCAGCAGTGTGACACAGGATGTTGCTGCCCTGGAACTTGCTATTGCTACAGCTGCCACTTTGTTGTGGTTAGGTGCTGTTGAGTTGAATATGACTCTCAGACCCTATGAAAAACAGGTCTGAACCCTGTGCCATCCTCATCAATTCTGACACACTTGGGCCCATTGCTGCAGTCACTGTGTCAGGCTATCTCAGTGAGGATTTTCCTCTCTTTTGCTAACTCTCCACCTTTTCAAGCATGATGTCCCTCTCCAAGGATTCACTTCACCTAATAAAATGCCCAGAATATGTGAGACAAAGCTTGGTTATTGTTGCCTCCAAGGAGCACTCTGGCTGCAGTTTCTCTAAGACATATCTGTTTGTTCTCTTTGCAGTATATGGAATCATTAGTACATTTCTCCAACACTATAACTCAAAGGCATCAATTTTTCTTCTGTCATCCTTATTTGTTTTCCAGCTCTCAGATGTGCAACAAGTGATTGAAAAGATCATGGCCTGAATCAGGTGCATCTTAGTCTTCAAACTAACATCATTGCTCCTCAGTAATTTATCAAGGTTCCTCACTGCAGACTTGCCCAATGCTGTACATCTCTTGATCTCCTGATTGCTAGTACAAAGTGCACTGTTTGTGGATCTAAGTAAGATGAAATCATGGACAATTTCAATCTTTTCTCCATCTTTCATAATGCTTTGGAAGCAGAAGTGGCATGCAGTCCCTAAACAACTTGCCTCCAGAAATTCTATGAACTTTGATAAATGTTAATAGTTGTAGAGGGGCTTCAGGCCTTTTGTTCATAGGGTCGCTATGAGTTGTGCTCAATTCAAAGGCAGTCAACAACATCATGAGGCTGGTGCTTGGCCCAGGTCTTCTTGATGTTGAGATGCAATCCATATTGAAGACTCTAATCTTTGATCTTCTGCAACAAGCATTTCAAGTCCTCTTTCAGCAAACAAGGTTGTATCATCTACAAAATGCAAGTTGTTAATGAGTCCTCCTCTGGTCCTGATGTCATGTTCTTTAGAGTCTTGTATCATTTGCTCAGCATATAGATTGGATAGGTATGGAGAAAGGATATAACCCTGATGTATACCTTTCCTAATTTTAAACCATGAAGTGTTCCCTTGCTATGTTTGGACAGCAGCTTCTTGGTCTAGGGAGCGTAATTAAGTGCTCTTGGGTTCCCATTCTGCTCAATGTTAGTCATATTTTGTTATGATTCACACAGTCAGATGCTTTTGCATTGTCAGTAAAACACAGACATTCTTCTGGCATTTTCTGCTTTCAGTTCAGATCCATCTGACACCACTAATGTCACGACCTCTTCTAAACCCACCTTTAACTTCTGACAGTTCTCTTTCAATGTCCTGTTCTAGCCATTTTTGGATAATCTTCAGCAATATTTTGCTTGCATGTGATAATAATGATATTGTTTTTAATTTCTGCATTCTGTTGGATCACCTTCCTTGAGAATGGGAACAAACATAGATCTCTTGCAGTTAGTTGGCCAAACACCTGTTTTCCAAATTTCGTGGCATTAACTGAGGTGCATGTTTGAGAGATGCTGTGGGCAAAATCTTAAACGATCCTGGAAGCATCAAAAGAAGGTGGACATAATATACATAGTCACTGTGTCACTTGACTCCGAAAAGTTTCAGGAAATACCATAGGAACAAGAGCCAATAGTAATGAAGGAAGAGGTTCAAGTTTCACTAAAGGCATTGGCAAAAAAGAAGGGCCCAGGAATCTATGGCATGCCAAGTGACATATTTCAACAAACAGATGCAGCCTTGGCAATGCACACCGGTTAATGTCAGGAAATTTGGAGGATAACCACCACTAGGAAGGGCGGGAGGGAATCATGTCAATTACTATAGTAGGTCACTATTATAGTAGTAGGTCCTATGTAAGTATTAAACAAGTACACTTATTAAACTGTACACTCTAATCTGTATTCCTACTTACAGGTGCCTTGATGGCCCAGTGGTTAAGCAGGTGTCTGTGAACCGAAAAGTTGTTCAAACCCACCAACTGCTCCATGGGAGAAAGACTTGGTAATCTACTTTGTAAAGATTACACCCAGAAAGTCCTAGGGCAGTCATACTCTGTCATAGAGGGTCACTGTGAGTCAGAGCTGACTGGATGGCACACAGTTGCCGGCTTCTAATCTATGTGTCTACTTAATCAGATCTAGATCAATTTTATTATATTGAAAGCAAACACATGAGTGAGGTATCAGTCCTGACCACTCCATTGTTTTAGAGTCCTCACTCTTTCCTCAGGACACTTTATATGCCACGTGAGACATTAACTGAGTGACAAAAGTCTGTACCGATGTTGTCAATGTATATTAGTAGTAATGAGCCGAACTTTTGTTTTTAGTGTATTTCTTTACCAATGATCATTTCATGTGGACACTGAGTTGTATATATCTACTTTTGGAAACAGCTGTACTCTGCTATTTCTTGTATTTAGTATTATATACACTGCTAGAGTGAGAAATTCTTTTTTTCTCTCTGTATGTGGGTGTGTTTGTTGGGGGCTGTCAACATGCTTCTGACTCATAGTGACCCTTCATAGAACACAATGAAACCATACCCAATGCCGTGCCGTCTTCACCATCTCTGAAAGCGCTCAAACTCATTGTCACAGTCACAGTGCCAGTCCATCTTATTGACGGTCTTCCTCTCTTTTTGCTGATTCTCTGCATTTTCTAGCACGATGTCCTTTTTCCAATAACATGCCCAAAATATATGAAACAAAGTCTCACCATCATTGCCTCTAAGCAACACTCTGGCTGCCCTTCTTCAAAGACAGGTTTATTTGTTCTTGGTAGTACATGGTGTATTCATTGTTGTTGTTGCTATGTGCCTTCGAGTTGAGTATGACTAATAGCGACCCTATGAACAAAAGATTTAAACCCTGTTCTATCCTGTGCCACCCTCATACTTCCTGACACACAAGAGCCCATTGCAGCAGTCACTGCAGCAGTCCACCTGGTCGAGGGTCTTCCTCTCCTTCACTGACCCTCCACTTTTCCTAGAAGCATGTCCTTCTCCAAGGAATGGCCCCTTGTAGGAATGTGCTCAAAGCATGTAAGGTGAAGCCTCATCATTCTTGCCTCCAAACAGCACTGTAGCTGCACCCTTTCTAAAACATTTTTTTTTTTGCCATCCATGGCATCCATGTTCAGTGCTCTTCTCCAGAAGCCCAGCTCAAAGGCATCAATTCTTCTTCTGTCATCCTTATTTACTGTCCAGCTCTCAGATGCATAGCAAGTGATTGGAAAGACCATGGCCTGAACCAGACATCATTTCAATACTTTGGAAAGGTCCCTAACTGCAGATTTTCCCAGTGCAGTGTGTCTCATTATTTCCTGACTGCTGGTGTTAATTGTGGATCCAAGGAAGATAAAATTGTTGACAGTTTCAGTCTCTTCTCCATCCATCATGATGTTGCCTATCTGTCCAGTGATAAGAACGTTTGTTTCCTTGATGTTGAGATGTAATCCATACAGATCTTCTGCAACAAGTGCTTCAAGTCTTCCTCACTTACAGCAAGCAAGGCAATAGTCATTACTCACTGCCAATACCGCAGTTCAAAGGCATCAGTTCTTATTCATTGTCCAGCTTGTTTATGGAGCAATTGAAAATTCCCTGGCGTAGATCAGGTGCACCTTTGTCTTTAAAAAGACATCCTTGCTCTTTTGTACTTTAAAGTGTTCTTTGGTGGCATATTTTCCCAAGGCAATACTTCCATTTGCTTTCTTACCTATTGCCTCCATGGTTGTTGATGGTGGATCCAAGCAAAATGAAATCTGTAAAGAACTATGTTTTAATTTTTAGAATATATAGAAAAACTCTTGGAGTAATCGGTAGATCCCCCTGGGCGGTGAGGGGCAAGGAGATAGTTTAAATGTGTAAATGATTATCCAAGAGACTTCACTGATATGCTTAAACTCATTGATGTGGAGCTGGTTCCATCTCATAATGACCTCCACCCGGTTTCCAAGGCAATGGGAAGAGACCAGCTGTCTTCTTTGGAGCCACTGTTGAATTCTAACCACCATACATGCATGACTTTTGATATGGCAGAGCAACTCACCATGACCTCTGCCACCAGAGCTTCCTGACAAAGCTCAAAAGCTGTGTAGACAATGGCATTTTTATTTCTTGTTCCAGAGGCCAGTTCCCTCATTTTTAGGTGCATGTCCTTTAATGCATTCCTTTAACTCCTGTCAGACTGGCCAGCCTCCAAAGGGAAGCTTTTGTTATTTACTGTGTGTAATTGCATTAGATGTTACAGCAGGCCATTTTTCTCTTGTTTTCTATAGCTGGCATAACCTTGACAACGGATTGCCTTGAAGACAGCCTTCTTACATGCTACTGGGGGTGCAGTGTTCAGAAATTGTATGAAGCCCTACAGAAGCACGTTTATTGTTTCAGAATAAGCACGCCTCAAGCATTAGAAGATGCTTTGTATAGTGAATATCTTCATCAAGAGCAGTATTTGTATCCTTTTATCTGATACACTTACCAGCATGTGAAAATGTTGGGCATTTGACTTTTTATGAATAAAAACAAATGGCACAGTTATAGATAATTTTGATGTACTATTGTTTCATTGACTATAGAGACAATTTGCCTTTACATTTGCAAAAAAGTATTAAAAAGGACAGCAAAGAAGAAATATATTGCCAGTTACCAAGTGATACCAAAATTGAGGACTTTGGTGCCGTGCCCCGATCTCGCTACCCATTAATAGCATTGCTGACCTTAGCTGATGAGGAGAACCGAGAAATTTATGATATTGTAAGTAATTTTAAAATTCTAAAAGCATTAAGTTTAAATGGTATAGATGGCAGTTCAGATTTCTTTGGTGAGATAGAACATTTGTTCTAACTTCTGGGGATAAACATTGGTCTGGACACATTGTCCTTGAAAAATCAGTACTCTAGAGGTATCAAGGTGTGCTGGTTATACCAGTCACAGCTCCTGCGGTAGCGCCGTATGGGTTTTGTTTTTTTTCCTCATGGGGCACAAAAATATGTTTTTGTCTAGGGAATAATCAAGTAATGTTATAATTGTATTTTCTTTCATGCTTGCTGTATTTTAAAAGTCTGTTGGGAAGCATGTTTATTCTTAGCATTTTGCACCACTGAGTAAATAAGTACTCAATTTTAAAACTTTGCCCCACTACTTTCTTTACATGTTTGTAGTCACCTTGTTTCTATCATAGGCCCCTCCTGCATCTTATATGTGTCTTATCCTTATATTTTCACTAATTGCAATTATATACCTATTGTGTGCTTTTTAAAAATATATTCCTAAATTCTGATAGCTTATCCCTTTTAGAGGGAGCTCTGGTGGCTGAGTGGTAAGAAGTTGTGCTAACTCAAAAGCACATATTTGATTTGAATCCACTGGCTGGGGTGAGAATCGAAATGGGAGAAAGATGAGCCATCTCCTCCTGTGGGATTTATTGCCTCTGAAAACCCGCTGGAGAGTCAGCTATGAGATGATTCCAACTTGACAGTATACAACAACATTCTCATTAGGAATAGAAAAACATACTAGAGATCTAAGAGGATCTGTTAGCCTCTTAGTAAGGTAGAAAGATTATATCTGAAGTAAATTTTTATGGCATTACATAGCTCACTGCTACTTGTATGAAGTGCTTGATAAAGGCAAACCAGTTACTCTTGAGTCGCCTTTGATTCTCAGTGATCCCACATGGGCCTGAGGCCTCCTTGGGATACAAGGTGAGACGAGGGCTTCCACATAATGTGATCAGAAATATAAAAGTAGCAGCAAACCTGGAGCCTCCCTAAATGAAGCCTAACTGAAGTTACAGAAACAGGTAAAGCCTCACCCCTAACTCCTTCCCAGGCCTCCAGGATTCTAGACAGGAATCATAATGCTTGATAAGCCGGTGGCCCCTTCCGAGGGGCAGTGACCCCTACATGGTCTTTGCTAGGGGGCAGCTGGGCCTGAGCTCCTGTGTGGAATGGATTGGAGGCAAATTTGATCAAGTTTTGTCCCTCCTCCTCACCCCAGTCATTTGGTTGACTCCAACTCAAGGTGACCCCGTGTGTATCAAGAGTAGACGCTGTTCCATAGGTTTTTAGTGACTAATACTTCTGAAGTAGATCACCAGGCCTTTCTTCCAAGGTACCTCAGCATGTACTCAAACTTCCAACCTTTTGGGGTTTTGGGTTTGTTTTGTTTTGATTTTTTTATTCGTTCATTGTTGCATATTTTTCTTCCTCCCTCTCGTCCCCCTCCCCTAGTTTATTTGGTAATGCACCCCTTGTTCCAGATTGTTGTCATTCATATAATGCCTCATCATATATTCTTTTCAGACAGTGCTTCCCCTCAATTTTTCAAATGCACTATTCATTATGTATCCACTCTTTTCCTGTTCTCCTTCTAAACCCCATGTCAGTCCTATTTTATAACAATCATAATATGCAGTATTTGCTCTTTTGTGACTGAGATATTTCATTCGGCATAATTGGCATTTCACAAGTCCATCTTCTCTGCTCTTTACAACCCTTCTGCCTAGTCAGGGTAACCCTCTCTACGGTGTATCCCCATCACTTTTAAGTTCTTGGGATTCTGTACCCTTCTCCTTTTATTTAGAATAGTGTACATGTTCAGATCTCAGTTATTTTCCCTTTCAGCTTCCCCTTTTGATTTCTCTTTGCTGCCCATGTTTCTTCTTCTATCTCAGCAGGAAAGGATTTGTTGCCAGGCTCCTTCTTCAACTACACTACAGTGATGTGGTAACGGCCACTTGATACAGCTGTGGTTGTAGAATGTTCCCTGCCTCCTTCCTGAGAGTGGGCGCCTGACTTTAAAAGCTTTATGGTTACTTACTGCACAGATCCTTCTCTGTGCTTTTTTATTATTATTACCTGCTGACTCCCTCCCTATTATTTCTTGTTTCATTTGTTCTTTTTATCTCAGACTCTGTTTCATATAGGAACTAAAGCATTTTTTAAAAAAATATTTTGTCTTAATATTTTCTAAATTTTATTTCTTTTTTTAAGTCTGTGTATTTTTATTTCTAAAGATGTGGCTTTTTTCTTCTCCTTTTTTAAATTGTATGTGTCTTTATTTTTTTTTAATTTTTATTAAATCTTATTAATTTTAATGAATTTTGGATTTCCATTCATTCATTGTTGCACTATTTTCTCTACCCACCCCCCCAGTTCGTTCCTTTTTTTTTTCCCCTTGAAAGTCTGTTTTAATTGTCCCATTGCCACAGTGCTTGTCAAAGTCTAAATTTTCGAAACAAACTATTTCATGTTTGTTTGGAGTATTTTATCCGGAGGTCTCAGGGACTTTAAAGTTAGAAAGAAAGGAAATGAAAAACTTGCCCATTGTGATCCTAACAGTAGAGAATTAGAGTTAGGTACCTCTGGTGATGTGTAGTCCATTGGGAGCTGTATGGCTGGTCCAGCAGCCACATTTCTCCACGGTTGAAGTCCACCAGTGGTGGCTCTTCCGGAGAAAGATGGACAGTCTCCTCCTATGTGATTTACAGCCTTCGGAACCTGGTGGAGGATCAGCTCTGAGGTGGTCTGACTCAGAGGCAACTATGAGTGCAATTAGAAACCAGTGTATTTTAAGTGTACAAAGGAAAACAGGTTGTTGGTATGACTTTTTTTACTTTTGAAAAAATTATATATTTAACACCCCCACCCCACCCCCCGGAATTACACAAGTAATACATGTTCATGGCAGGAAAAGAAAATTGGAAAATCAAGATAAGGCCTTTGTTCCATCCTTCTGGAATTCCTGTATTCAGCTGCTGTATTGCCTAGACTGCTTCTCTGTTTTATGTTTTTTAAATCCTGCTTTGGACCTCTCTCTGTTCCTACTCCCTGAAAGGTTTCCTGATTTGGTAATTAGTTAAAGCATCAATAAAACAAATCCTTGCTTTCAAGTTGGAACTGACTCATTACTGACTCTCCAGTGGGTTTTCAAGACAGTAAATTGCATGGGAGGAGATTGCTCATCTCTCTCCTTGGAGCTGTGGGTGGATTAGAACTGGTAGAGAGGCACAGCCCTCGGGTTTGCAGGGCAGCTCCCTACAAAGTAGGCCATGACAACTCCCTGCATTGAAGTAAAAGTGTCAGAAAAGAAAATGTCCACTTCTAAAATGTATAGTGTGATATTTTGACATTTGTTGTTGTGTGTCTTTGAGTCAGAACCAACTCATAGCTGACCCTTCAGTGGATTTTTAGAGGCTCTAAATTGCCTGGGAGGAGATTGCCCATTCCTTTCCCATGGAGAAGCTTGTGGATTTGAACTACATGCCTTTGGGATTACAATGGAGCTTCTTATCACTAGACCACCAGAGCTTGATAGATGTATGTATCCATAAAACCACTACCACAATCAAGACAAGGAGGATATGCCTCACATCCAAAAACTTCCTAATGCATCTTTATAAGCTGTATTTCCTCCCATCCTCTTTCCCTGTCTTTCCATAGTTTTTGAAAAATGATTGCTCTGTTTTCTATGACTATATACTAGTTTACAATGTCTATACATTTTATATTGTTTGTGCATATGTACTATAGAATTTTATGTAGTTGGAATCACATACTGACTTGGCATAATCAATTTGAGATTTACCTATGTTCTTCTAATAGTTCATTTTTAAATTGCATATAATAATATGGTTATACCACAGTTTGCCCACTCATTTATTGATAGATAAAGGGCTTTCTACATAAAGAACAGTGCATAAAGTCTATACTTTATGTTGCTACTTTGGGCTGCTAACTGAAGAGTCTGTGGTTCAAATCCTCCCTAGGAAAAAGATAGATGGTCCACTCCCTTAAAGATTTATACCCTTGGAAACCTGATGGAGTGTCACAATGGGTTGGAATCAACTTGATGACAACAGTGGATTTGGGTTTATTATTGAGAGATACTAAATGCATTGGTTCCAGCGTTTGAATATTATAAATAAATCTGCCGTTAGCACTCTGTCTTTGTATAGACACATGTTTTTGTTGGACAAATACCTAGCCATAGAGCTTTTTAAGAATCTGACCATTTTTTAAAGAAGGGGTTTACTGTTTTGTACTTCCACCAGCAGTGTGTAAGAGAGTTCAGCTTCTTCCACATCCTGATCAGTGCTACAACCTTTTAATTGTAGCCATTTAAATAGGTGTGTAGTAGTGGCTCACTGTGACTTTATTTTGTATTTCTCTACTGAATAATTACATTGTATGTCTTTTCATGTGCTCACTTGCCACTTTTGTATATGGACAAGATGCCAACTAATCTCAGTCTAAATGGTAATTAACTGTGATGATTTTCATTAACAAAATCTAAAAAGAACTGATCAGACGCTAATACTTTCATTTGTCCTTAACTGTCCTTGCTCACTCTTCAAAAAAAATTAGGAAATTAATGCTTATTGAACACGTCTCTTCCTCTTGCTTCTTTTCCAAATCTGTTATTAGGAGCCAAGGTAAATGCTATGCCTAGAATCTAATTTGGGGAAGTAAGTGTATTTATTTTGAATATATTTTTCCTAAGATTTTTTTTTAGGCAATTCACAGTAATTCATCAATATCTATAATCTGGGTTTCATTACTAATAGCTCAAACAAAAATATGTGTTCAGGCAAAAACAAGTGCCTTTTCAGAGACTACAATTTAAAAGCATTCATGTCTATTTCCTAACTTATAGCCCACTTGTATTTATTTAAGATTAATTTCTCACATACCTGTCTAGTATTATAAGGAGGTATGTTGTTGTTGTTGTTTTTGTTATGTGCCGTCGAGTCGTTTCCGACTCATAGCGACCCTATGCACAACAGCCCTAAACCCTGCTCTATCCTGCGCCAACCGCACCGCCTCTGACACACCCATCCCTATTACCCCAGTCACCGAATCAATCCATCTCATAGAGGGTCTTCCCCTCCTGCGTTGTCCCTCAACCCTCCCAAGCATTATGTCCCTCTCCAAGGACCCGTCCCTCCTGGCAACATGTCCAAAGTATGTCAGATGAAGCCCCAGAATCCTTGCCTCCAAGGAGTAGCTTGGTTTAATCCTCTCCAAGACAAATCTGTTTGTTTTCCTGGCAGTCCAGGGTACATTCAGTACCCTTCTCCAGCACCATAGCTCAAAAGCATCCACTCTCCTTCTGTCCTCCCTAGTCATTGTCCAACTCTCTGATGCATAACAAGCGATTGCAAATACCATGGCCTGTATCTGACCCATTATTTATTTTTCATTTTAGATCTCAATGGTGTCAGTAATTCATATTCCTGATAAGACTTACAAGCTTTCCTGCAGAATACTGTACCAATATTTACTCCTGGCTCAAGGTCAATTTCATGATCTTAAGGTACGTTGTTCCCTATAATATCTCTGTCTGTTTTGTTTTCAGTCTCAGATCCTAGATATTTTTTTAATAACTTTTTTTTTAGTGAGTTGTTAATGGGGGGAAACTCTAGTTAAATATTATAAATTATTGGGGGGTACATTAAATATATTCTTTGTGATAGTTCTTTATTGCCTTTGCATGATAATTGTAAACATGAATTACTCAAATTTAAAGAATAAAACTAAGTAATTTAAAGAGAAAATACCCTATTTCTTTGTTTTACTCTCCAGTCGTTTGGATTTACTAGCTCAACCATTTTTAGCACCTTTTATGACTCCCAGATGTAAAGATTAAATGTCATTTGTAATTATCCTGAAACTGGTTTCTTTGGTTTCCAGCAACTTTTCATGTCTGCAAATAATAACCCCACGCCCTCAAGCAGCACTTCTCCAGAAGAGCGAAGCACAGACAGAAGTCTGCTGGAAAAGGCTGGACTTTCTGAAAGCGAAGCAGAGCCCCTTGAGGAGAGTAGCAAGGACTGCGTTGTCTGCCAGAACGGGCCGGTGAACTGGGTGCTCCTGCCCTGTCGGCACACGTGCCTGTGCGATGGTTGCGTCAGGTACTTCCAGCAGTGCCCAATGTGCAGGCAGTTTGTTCAGGAGTCCTTTGCACTTTGCAGTCAGAAAGAGCAAGACAAAGACAAACTGAAAACACTTTGAAGATGGTGTTAGGACTGAAAAGGACACTTTCTTCTGAAGATACTGAGTTTTGTCTTCTAGAACTAACCATTGCATGGAATTTACAGTATTGATCATCAATGAAAATGATATTTTGACTGCATAATTTATACAACACGTAAATGATAAAATGAAGTATTCCTTTCTCTTCGTATGGTAAATACTGGGATAGCATCTGTGTTGAAACATAGAAATGATACTAAAGCTAAAGAAGAATGTAAACACTTAGCCTTTCATCAGCTAGAGGATTTCATATAATGCTGATTACAAAAAAGTCATTCTTTAGAGAAATCCATTTAAAAAACCGAGGAGGTAAAAGTCTTAAGAGTGCAAAGTAGCTTCCCTTTCACATAGACTAGAGTAACATTAGGAAACGAATTCTTAAAATAATTGTATGACTTTACAAAGGAATTGGGAAAGGCTTCTTCAAATCTTTTCGTAAAATACCAGTTTTTATAAATATTCATTTGTTTTCTAATTTCCTTTATCATCATAGTTACACAAACACAAGATTCTATTTCTAGATATAGGTTTTAAAATCATAAATGCAAGACGTAACTCTTTATATAAAAACATAGTCATGCATAGGAGACAGATATAGAACTTGCATAATAAAATTTCTCGATCAGCATGATTAGCTTAGGAGAATGGCACATCTTAAAAAAGAGCCACTGACCTCCTCTTGAAGTCCCTTTTTCTCCCTGTGAGACTCAGATGCCCTACCTCATCTACCGCAGCAAATCCATCTGAAACCAGAGCGGTTTCAAGCCAGAAAAAAATCACTCAAAGAAAGAAAAATATTTTTATAATGTATTTTTATTCCAGATAAACTTCATGCCCTCCTGGAATGTATGTTATTTTGTTTATTTGCTGTTTTATCTTGTTGTTGAGGAACCTGATAGGATCAAAAGATCCCCTACTCTTGATAACAGTCAGCCAGCTTCCTGTATCTTTAGTGAAAATTACCTTCAACTCACCAATAAAATAGTTCATGGTAAATAAATGGTGACATTCAGGGACATTTTCAAGCTTTTTTGGGGGGTCCTGTTTGTATTTTGAACAATGCCATCCCTTTATGTTAGTGTTTTGTACCTCATCATTCCTTCCCATGAAACCTAACACTCACTATTTAATTGCCATCAAATAAGCACCTTGAAAAAGTGTTTACTTGTTCACTTTATTAACCTAATCAGACTTCCATCTGCCTTCAACAGTTGTGTCATAAATAACCTTCTAGGGCCTTTTGGTGGTGTCAAGAATTTATACTTGATTACTAGCTTACAGGGAGCTCTGGTGGCCTAGTGGCAAGAAGCTGCACTGCATCCCGAAGGCTCACACTTGGAGGGCATCAGCTGCTCTGTGGGAGAAAGATGGGCAGTCTCCTCCCATGTGATTAACTTCCTCTGAAAACCTGCTGGAGGGTCAGCTATGGGTTGGCTCTGACTCTACGGTAAACAGCAACAACTAGTCTACAGTTGGTAATTTGATCCTCCCCAGTGACTTCCTGGAGGAAAGATGTGGGAGTCTTTCCACAAAGATTGTAGCCATGAAAACAATTTGTTTGGTGTTTGGCCTAAGGGCCGGATACTTGTTTTATATTGTGAAGATATACCAAGCCATCTGCCAATTCAACTATTTGTGTAAAATCCAGTGGCCAGAGACTTTTAAAGAGCTTTAGCTATAACCAGTGATGAGAGTTGCTGAGCTCAGAGTACTTATTCCTAAAAGCAGTTTGATGGTTTATTAGAAGCATATCCCCTCTCCTGGGAATTCTTAACCAGCTCTGCTCCTGGGAGAGGGGTGTGCTGAAACTATAGACCCTGCTGCAGCAAACTAGCAGTGTAATGGGTAATCTGGGAAGTTGGAAAGCCCAGGGACCATTTTGTCCATTTACCATTTGCAGAACAGATTATCCGGAAGGCTGGGCTCTATGAGGAGAAATGTGGCATCAGGATTGGTGGAAGATCTATCAACAATCTGCGTCATGCAGATGATACAACCCTGCTTGCTGAAACTGAGGAGGACCTGAAGCACTTGCTGCAGAGGGTCAAGGACTGAGCTTTCAATATAGATTTGAGGCTCAGTGTCAAGAAGACAAAGATTCTAACCACTGGACCAATTGGCAGCATCAGATCAGGATGGATGGTGAAGAAATTGAGATTATTCGCAGCTTTAGTTTGCTTGGCTCCACAGTCAATACTCTTGGCACCAGTAGCCAGGAAATTAAAAGGCGTATTGCCATCGGAAAGTCTGCTGTTAGGGACCTCTCCAAAGTACTGAAGAGCAATGGTGTCTTTCTGGAGACTAAGGTGCGTCTGATACAGGCCATGGTCTTCGCAATCACTTGTTATGCATCAGAGAGTTGGACAATGACCAAGGAGGACAGAAGGAGAATTGATGTTTTTGAGCTGTGGTGCTGGAGAAGAGTATTGAGAATACCATGGACTGTTAGGAAAACAAACAGATTTGTCCTGGAGAGGGTTAAACCGGGTTGCTCCTTGGAGGCAAGGATTCTGAGGCTCTGTCTAACATATTCTGGACATGTTGTAAGAAGGGGCCATTCTTTGGAGAGGGACAACATGCTTGGGAGGGTGGAGGGAACACGCAGGAGGGGAAGGCCCTCTATGAGGTGGATTGATTCAGTGACTGGGGTAATCAGGATGGGAGTGTCAGAGACAGTGTGATTGGCACAGGACAGAGCAGAGTTTAGGGCTGTTGTACGTAGGGTCGCTATGAGTTGCAAGCGACTTGACGGCACATAACAACAACCATTTGCTTTACTCATTTCTTTGTTCCTAATCTGCCCTAGACCAATCACAGTTGGAAAAGCAAGCATCCCCAATCCTCCAGTGTCACTTCCTTTTTATAACCAGTGGAGCTGCTTTGCCCTTAGTCTCAACTGCTAACACCCAAAGCATTGCTCCCCTCAGTGGGATACAGATGAGTCACTGGACAGATAATCAAGGAAGAACAGGTACACGAGGCTTCTGTCATAACCTGCAGTGATTCATTTTCTAAGAAACGAGCCATGGAGAAACTGCGAGTCAAGCACTGGGCCACTAACCAAAAGATTGCTGGTTTGGACTCACCTGCAGCTCCATGGAAGAAAGCGGAGATAGTTGCTCCTGGAAAGGTTTATAGTCCTGGAAATCCTGTGGGGATGTTTGCACTCTGTCTTAAAGTGTCATGATGTGTTGGTGCCCAGTGATGGTTCTGGAAAAGTGTTTGACTTGAATGGACTATTAGATATGATAACCGGTTTACATAGACTGGTTGCTACTTTCCAAAAGTCTAACCCAAGGCTACATTTAAGCCAATTTGACATTTAAGCCAAGTGACTAGTCACCTCCTCCAGGGGTCTTTTCTTTCCAGCTGAGAGCTCAATTCTAAGGCCACTCTAGGGGAGGACTTTATTATTAAAAACTGCACACAAGTCATTGAATTACCTCCACAAGTTACTTTGTTTTTTTAAGCTTTTTCATTAATAACACATGCAAGCAAAATTCTGAAAGTTTTCTAAAAATGACTGAAATAGCACATCAGCAGAGAACTGCCCAGATGTGAACGCTGGATTTAAAAGAGGCTGTGGTACTAGGGATTATTATAGTTTATGTCAGATGGATCTTGGCTGAAAGCAGAGAGTACCAGCAGAATGTCTATCTGTGTTTCTTTGACTATGCAAAGACTTTTGACTCTATGGCTCACAACAAACTGTAACTGCCTCTGAGAACAATGGGAATCCCAGAACACCTGATTGTGCTTATGTGAAACTTATATGTGGACCAGGAGGCAGTTGTCAGAACAGAGGAAGGAAACACTGCATGGTTCAAAATTGGGAAGGGTGTGTGTCAAGGATGTGTCCTCTTTCCATATCTTTTCAATCTATATGCAGAACAGATAATCCAGGAAGCTGGGCTCTATGATGAGGAATGTGGCATTAGGATTGGAAGACTCATCAACAACCTGCATTATGCAGATGACACAACCCTGCTTGCTGAAACTGAGGAGGACCTGAAGCACTTACTGCAGAAGGTCAAGGACTGCAGCCTTTAATATGGATTGCAGAAGGTCAAGGACTGCAGCCTTTAATATGGATTGAATCTCAATGCCAAGAAAACAAACATTCCCACCACTGGGCTGACTGGCAGCATTATGACAGATGGTAAAGAGATTGAGATTGTTAACAGTTTTCATTTGCTTGGCTCTACAATCAGCATTCTTTGTACCAGCAGCCAGGAAATCAAAAGATGAATTACATTGGGAAAGTCTGCTGTCAGGGACCTCTCCAGGGTACTGAAGAGAAATGATGCCTGTCTGGAAACTAAGGTGCACCTGATCCAGGCCATAATCTTTGCAGTTACATGCTATGTGTCAGAAAGCTGGACAATGTTCAGGGATGACAGAAGGAGAATTGATGCCTTTGAACTGTGGTGCTGGAGAATAGTGATAGAGCAGGGTTCAGAACTGTTGTACAAAGGGTCGGCATGAGTCGCAGGTGACTTGATGGCATATAACAACAACTATTAATTTTGGTATGAAACACTTTTTAACCTGGCTTTGGAAGTGAAGCATCAACACAGATAAACTGGGGTTTGGGGAAAATGGGGAAAGAGGAATTCTGATACTCAAGAAGTAACTCCATTCTGTAGCAGATGCTCCATATCCCTGGGATAATACTCTAACTCCATTTCAAGTTTCACATAAGCACTATTAAATGTTGTGAGATTTCAAGTTTTCTCAATGCTAGCCATAATTTGTTACATCCATAGTCAAATTCCTTTGCATCACCAATAAAACACAAATAGAGGTACGTTTGTTATTCTCTGCTTTCCAGGATCCATCAGATATTTACAGTTCTATCCCTGGTATCCTGCATCTTCTAAATCCAGCCTGAATTTCTGGTAGTTCTCTGTCAGTGTACTGTTGTAGTTGCTTTTTGAATGATCTTCAGCAAGATTTTACTTGGGTGTGATAGTAATGATTGGTAATCTCCACATTCTGTTGGGTCACCTTTTGGGGAGAATGTGAACAAATATGGATATCTTCCAGTCAATTGGCCAAGTAACTGTCTTCCAAATTTCCTGGCATAGCCTGGTAAGCATGTCTGAGACTGCATCTACTTTTTGAAACATGTCAAATGATGTTTCAAAAATTCCTGGGTCCTTATTTTTTTTGCTATAAGAAGTACAGCCTCA